TATATATATATATATTTTTTTTTTCCCTAGCTCTACTCACTAAAGTGAGCAATCAGAAGCAATAAATATCCCTCCTGCCCAGACTATGGTCTTGAAATACAATTTCCCATTAAAAACTGTATGAGTTTCTTCAAGAAATGGCCAATTCTTGTGTCGGGGGCAGGAAAGACATGAGTCTGGGACTCTAATCATACCAGATAGCAACAAAACTAGCAACAATTTCTGAACTCAGACATCAAGTTGGAGAGGCTCAATTGTTATACTACTATTACTGTTCAAATATAAAATGTTCCCAAAATACTGTTGGTGCTATTGAGAGGTGACTAGATCACGAAGGCACGCATCTCATAATGGATTCATTTCATAGGTGGAAGATGGGTTATTAGGAGGTGGGACCTAGTGGGAGGAAGTATGTAACTGGGGTTGTATCTTTGAAGGATATTTATTGTCCTTGACCCCTTTCTCTTATTCTCTACTTTCCCCCTGCCATGAGGTGAGCAATTCTCCCCCGCCATGTGCTCCTTGCCAGGATGCTTTCTTTGCCTTTCGTTGGGCCAGAAGCAATGGAGCCAACCGATCAAGGACTGAAACCTCTGAAGTTGTGAGTCTAAATGTATGTTTCCTCCTTTAAGCTGCTTATCTCAAGTGTTTTGTCAAAAAAAAAAAAAGTGATGGAAGGCTGACTAGATATTCTGGGGTTCACCGTGAGCACATATAAGTAGGGAAAATGGGACACAAATATTTTACTGTTGGAAAAGGAGAGAAAATTACAGAGAAGAGGAAAGTAGAAAAAAACAATGTGATTTTAGATTGGAATTGTTCATATCAATTATATATCTATACAATATATAAGTTCATATCAATACCTATTGAACTTATATATTGTATATATATGTGTAATGAACTCATACATAGAATATATATTTATATATAAAGAAAATATATATGGTTGTATGTAAACATTCATTTCCTATATCTGACCACTGAGATGGACTGAATTATGACATCCCAATAGCAATAAGCACACCCACCATCCAGACTTGGATTCTAAGTACCATTCTCCACTAACTGGAAACAAGGTATTTAGAGAAACAGCTGATATATTTTGTCCAAGTCTCCCATAAGACTTATGAAACAGTAATGCGGTGACTAGTTTCCACCTAGCTGGGACAACTAGTGCAATGTGAATGAGATGTGTGGATTAGATGGTAGTACTGTATTAACTTCTCAACTTCATGGTTTGTACTGCGGCTATATAGGAGTGAGTCCTATTTTCAGAAAATACTTGCTGAAATATTTAGGAATAATGGACACATCTGAAACTTGCTCTCAAATTGCCTGGGGCGGTAGCTAAAAAAAAGAATAGTACAATATAATATAATAAGTGAGAAAGAATAAAGTAGATGTAAAATGTTTATTGGGGACTTTGGGTGAAGGGTAGGAGAGAGTTATTTTGTACCATTTTTGCAACTTAAAATTATTTGGAATTATTCTTAAAGACAATTTCAGGACTGGAGGTGTGTCTTGAGAGGTAGAGCTGGTCTCACTTAAGTGAGACACCCTGACTTCAAAGCCCAGTCCCATGAAAAAAGAAAATAATTTCAGCACATAGGGGAATATGCAAGGTAAGTGAAATATGCAGATCAAACAAATGTACAGTGCCATTTAAATTTTGTTGAGTACATATTTATTCAATAAAATTTTATTGCACAGTAGCATAAAAAGTTAACAACTGTCATCTGTTGATGAATAGCCATGCCCGACTTCAGGCAAAACAAAGCTGGATGATTTGTGCTACCAGATATCAAGACCTACTGTAGAGGTACAGAAGTAAAGATGTGAGCCAGCCTGGGCAACATAACAAGACCCTGTCTTTTTAAAAAAGAAAAAAGAAAAATAGGTGTTGGTGCAACAATAGAAAAAGCACATCAATGAACAGAAGTCAGAAATTCAGTTTCATTTGGCTTACGACATAGGTGATACTGAAATTGTTTAAAATTTTTTCTGTGATACAGGAGTTTGAAGTCAGGGTCTCAACCTTGCTAGCTATGCATTCCACTACCTGAGCTACAAACCCAGCCCCTTTTTTGCTTTGGTTATTTTTTGGATAGGATCTTGTGTTTCTGCTCAGGGCCAGCCTGGGACCTTGATCTTCTTATCTGTGCCTCATACAGTATCTGTGATCATAGGCATACACCATACTCCACTTGTTATGATGGGGGTCTCACTTTTTGCCCAGGCTGGCTTTAACAGTGATTCTTCCTGATCTCTGCCTCCTGAGTAGTTGGGATTATAGGCATGAGTCACTGTGCTTGGCTACACGGCTTACTTCTAAAAGTACTTTTTTCTTTCTTCTGAAATATACCTGCATCTTTTTCTATCGTATCTTACTCTTAAAGGCTTAATATCTTTTTTAGTGTTTTTAATAAGTTTTATTTTTTATTGACTTTCTAATATTAGACTCTTTGGTGTTGCCAACTCTTTTTTCTGATTCCATTTTTGTGCTTTTTCCTGATTTTTTTTAAGATAATGGGTATTTCCACAAGTATTTGCTAATTCTTTATGTGAAATCATCTGTCTTCAGTTTGGCTTTCTTCTTTCCTGTCAGATGGCATGAATGTTGCTTCAAAGAGGATTTATATTTGGTTTGCCAAGAACCCTAGGACTAATTTTGGTTATTCCTGAACAATCTTGGAAAGTGTGACCTCAAGTATAGGCTTGAGCTTTCAAATTCTCAGTGAAGGCAATTCTTTTCAGACACAGACACCCCCTTCAGTGCCCTCCCCTTAGAACCAAGCAGAGAACTTTTCTAGTCTTCTAGTGCTGAGATATATATATATATATATATATATATGTATATATATATATACATATGTAGATATATTTAGCAGTCTGTCCTTTCACTTACGGTACAAATGTTTTAAGGGTTTCAACTTCTTGCAGAGGTGTCAGTTTCAGTCTCTGAAGGCCCCAATACTTTGGTGTTAAACAAAAACCCCAAGTAAGTTTTCCAGCACTACAGATCTTCCTGGGTAGGTGCTTGTAAGGTCTCAGGCTCACTGCCATGTTTTCAATTGCTCCATCTTTGGCATCTCAGGATGTTCTTTTTTCTCCTGTAATCACAGCTCATGTGATTTTAATAAGTGTATTATTTCATGTCCCATTTGTGTTTCTAGGGGAAATAGTTAGATGATTTTCATTTGTTCTCTCGGTAGACCCAGAAATCCTCACATTAATTTTATAAGCTTAAAGAACATAAATGTTCATTCTTACACTTTGTTTTCTAATAGAGTTACTAACTAGGCCAAATGATCTCTTGAAAGTTTAATGGACTGATTGTCTAGCACTTTCTTGAGAGAGATCTGATGAGGGCATCAATGTTCCAAATGTGAACTGGTTGAAGGACTGAGCCTACACTTTTCCTTCTCCACAAATGTCCAGTCATCTATTTTTGTCTGTGTCCAGGTTTCTCATTTCCTCTAGGGTCTGACCCTTGCTTTGAAGCACAAACCTACTTGACAACTTGGTTTCCAAAGAATCTGTTTGTTTAGTCTTGGGTTCTCTCTTTACTCATTTATAATTTATCATTACAATATTTCTGAACACCATGGTTGAAGACTCAAGAGAGGCGGATGTCCTCTCTTAGGAATAAAAGGCTACAGCAAGACACTCACATTTGGTAAACAGTTTTTGCCTGGATTCTTCACTCAACACGAATTTGTTGCTAACCTACTATGCGCCAGGCCTTGATCAACTGCTGAAAGACAGAGTCCAGTCCTTCATGGAGATTACCACATCAAGCAAAACAAGAAATTCATGAGCATCTGGTACATTTAACTCCACTTTGGAGAAAAAACAGACAAGATTCCTGGCTTCTCCTGCAGGGCTGTTAAGGAACAATATTAAAGTTTAATAGAACAATAAAATATGGGGTTCAGGTGCCAGTACCTTAGTAGACGGCAAAGAGCCTGAGTCTGGATAGTTGGGGAAAACTCTTGAAAGAGGGGATCTATCTAAAGATGGGTAGGATAGCAAATGGGGGATTTTGGGGGCTGCCATAAGCAATCTGAGCTTCAGTCTTAGGAGTGACAGACTGTGAAGACAATTTATGAGAACAGGATTAGCTCCCTCCCAGTCCTGCAGTCTGTTTGCTCTTCTCAACCAAGTTATCCTGCTGGCTTACTGTCTTAGTCCGGGCCCTACAGTTCAATTTTAGCTTTTACATCCGTACACACAGGATTGGCCTTTAGTCATTATGGCCAATCTCCTTTTCTTTCTTTTTTTTTTTCCTTTGGGTATTGATCTCCTTAGTTCTCGAACTAATTCCTTGAGTAGCGTCCATCCACTAGTCCCTCTTTGATTTTAGCTAACTACAACGTCTGTGCAAACAGTTAAATTTGAACCACGCAGAACGCTTTTCATCACCTAAAACAGGCCGTTTCTCTGCCCAGTGGAAATTCCCCTCCCAAAGCGGACTCTGTGAATGACTGTCATATCATCCCCATCGTCCTAAGTTCAGGGGGTGCAGGATCCCGGTACACCCCAATCGGCAGGTCCGCCGCGTGAAGTGAGCGGCGAGGAGCGCAAAAAGAGGCCGCCGAACCCCAGGACAGCCATTTTCGGGAGCCGCTGGGGAAAGAGGCGACGCGAGTCCGCCACCCCGCCAAGGCCCTGCAGAACCAACGGACTTCACTCGCTTCTCAGGCGAGCGCGAGAATCAACGGGCCCGTTTTACTACTTCCGAAAACCCCTCACCCTCCTCCCTTATCTCAACTCGCGTCCTGTGAATCTAACTGGAAATAGGAACCCCGCAACCTTCACGCCCCCACCCCGAGGAAGCACCTCGAAGTCCCCGCGCCGAGGAATTCAAACAACTTAGTCGTCACACCACCTCGGAACCGGAAGCCTTGCAACTAGCGCCCCCTAGCGGGGTATCTAGTTATCAGGGGCGGGGGGGTCACAGGAGGAAAACTACAACTCCCAGAATGCACGGCGGAGCTTCCGGTTTCCGGCGAGAAGGCCAGCGTGAGTGTTTACACCGGCGATTCTGCGGCCGGGTTCCTTCCGCGGGACGGGTGAGGGCACTGGGTCCCTGGCCGCGCGGGCTCGACGTGGGTCGACTAGATAACTGGTCCTACGGGAGAGGTGGGGTTGCCAACAGATAGTGTCTCCCTCTACCCACTACTACCTGCCTGTGACCTTGGGCCAAGGGACTTCCCTTATTCTGAGTCTTGATTCCATTTCTGTAAAATGTGGCTGATGATGCCTGTCCCGGGAACGATTGTGAGGATTAAGTGAGATTGGCACACAAAGAGACTGCCTCCTTCCAGGTTTTAAACCTGGAGGTCGACGATGTCTTTGAGTCTGCTGCGCAGCCTCACGCCTTTTCTTCCCCTCCCTAGCAGAAGCCTCTGTAGAAACGATGATAACGAGGACTTTCCTTGCCTTACAAGACTGTCCCATCCTCACTTTTGGACTTACTTCTAGGCACAGGCAGAGAGACAGTCAAGACGAAAAGTTCTAGGATTGAGGGTCGTGGTGGTTGGGTGCTGGTGGGAGACTGAGAAGTAGGTATGTGTAGCTGTTTCCCTGAGGGGATAGGGAACGTGGGAACAACAGAGGGAAAAGAGGGAACAGAAGAGGTTGTGTTCATGTCGGTCTTGATAGGCGTTTGCTAAGAGATCAAAAAAGGGAGAGAACTTAACATGGCAAGGAGCTGAGCAAGCTGTAAGATGGAGAGAGCTTTGTTAAGAGGTGTACTTACCTGTTGGGAGGGTGGGGCAGGGCGGGGCTCTGTTGGGGAGGAAAGATGGCAGGGGGCTGGGCGAATGGGTTTGTAGTCCAGATGTGGAGTTTAAATTTATTTATACAGATGGTTTATAGGCATTGGAGGAGTTCTAAGCAGTGAAGTCACTTGGTGAAATTCTATTTTAAAATGATGCGTTGGATGGCAGCATAGATCTTTTACAGGGAGAAGCAAGAAAGGCAGGTAACTTGTTATAAGACAGTTTTAATAGCCAAAGCAAAAGTAGAAGAAAGTCGGAAATAAGGAGTGTCTAGAAGGGAGATGGTTGTCAGGAGCTGTGGCTCACGCCTGTAATCCCAGCTACTCAGGAGGCAGAGATCAGGAGAATCAAGTTTCGAAGCCAGCCTGGGCAAATAGTTTGAGAGACCCTATCTCGAAAAAAACCCATCACAATAAAAGGGCTGGTGGAGTGGCTCAAGGTGTAGACCTTGAGTTCAAGCCCCAGTACCGGGGGGGGGGGGGGGGGGGGGGGGGGGGGGGGGGGGGGGAAGGGAGATGGTCGAATGATCCACTTGAACCTCACAACATTCCTATTAGATTGGATGGCATTTTATGTCCACTTTAAAGATGAAGAAACTGAGGCCTAGGGAGCTGAATTCCTTGCTGCCCATTATAGGATGAATAAAGAGAGGACCCTCAGGTCTAGCTCTGGTCTCCTTAATGTTGCATCTTGTGCCTTTCTTACTGTGTCATCCTGAATTGTCTCTCATTCAACCTGTTGGTGGGAGGGAGTGGAGTAGGATTGTGGTCTGTCATTCAGTTACTAAGGCTGTATTCTTTTACAGGGAGAAAGAGAGAGCGAGAAAGAGAGAGGATGTCTCTCTCAGATTGGCATCTGGCGGTGAAGCTGGCTGACCAGCCACTTGCCCCAAAGTCTATTCTTCGATTGCCAGAGACTGAACTGGGAGAATATTCACTAGGGGCCTATAGTATTTCATTTCTTAAGCAGCTAATTGCTGGCAAACTCCAGGAGTCCGTTCCAGACCCTGAGTTGATTGGTGAGTCTCTCTGGACTGGGGTTGGGCTGCTACTTTGATCTCTTTTCGGGGAGACTACTTCTGGAATTATAAGAGTAGCTGGGTGTAGTTGTGCACACCTGTCATCCTAGCCCCTTGGGAGACAGAGGCAAGAGGATTACGAGTTCAAGGGCAGCCTGGGCTACATAGCATGACCCTGTTTAAAAAAAAAAGTCTGGAATCAGAATTACAAGAGTGAATTAAGAGCTTGGGATTTCATAGTTAACACTTCAGACAAGTGTCATGTGAGTAGAAACACAAACCATGGAATAAAACTATTGACTGTCATTTCAGTCATGCGTTATACTGAGTTACTTCATCACAAAGTTCCTTAACTACGACATTGCATTTCTCTGAAAATGTAAAAATCTGGGATAGGCTAGGGAAGGAGTATTGATTGGGGGAGGCTCTTGAGTATATCCCTTAAGTAAGGGGTGATTAAAATGACTTATTTATTTGGTTGATTAGAGGAAAGCCAGCAAAAAGGGAAATGAGGATTTCAGGGCATTCCCAGTGGAGGAGGGAGGAATTTAAGTATAATATAATTATTCTGTAAATGTAATTTATAATAACTAAGGATTCCAACTGGCGATAAGAGTGTTTTCTGTCATAGTTGGAGTGGGTTCTTCCTTTTTTATTGTTGCATGTTTTCATTCATTTATCTTTTTATTGTTCGGGATCAAACCCGGGCCTTATGCATGCTAGTCAGGTAAGTGCTCTACCATTGAAGTACATTCCCAACCCCCCCTCCCTTTTTTTTTTTTTTTCAAGTGATACTGGGGTTTAAACTCAGGGCCCATGTGCTTGCTAGGCAGGTGCTCTTTACCACTCAAGGGACATTCCCAGCCCCAAGCCCTTTGCTTTTTGAGATAGGGTCTTGCTGGCCTTGAACTCACAATCACCCTATTTCAGCCTCCTGGGTGCTGGTATTACAGTAGTGTACCAACATACCTGAATTTTCCACTCATTTAAATTAAGCAGTCTTCACAATGTTAAGCTCTAGAGCTCTTTTGTGGATGTTTTTCTTAAATAAGAGTTTGTACTTAATAGCAATTGCTAAACATATTTCTTAATAAGAGTATCTTTTAAAATACTTACCTGGCAGGGGAGATACCATGATCATGAAGGTGGTTTCCCCAGGGTGAGGCTTATCCATTGCACTCCGGATGTGCTGACCCCTGTGATTTCCCCAATGTGGGAAACTCGACTACATAATTTGTGGTAGTGGGGGACTGTGTAACAAACAAACACAACAAAACAGAGTATCTTTTAAGGCGTGTTTCATTCTCCGTCTATTTGTCCAGTCAAAGTAAGGTTCTTAAGGGACAAAAACCCTTTAAATTGATCTGAGGAGAAAAATATAACTGGGAAATTCTTTTTAGATCTAATCCACTGTGGCCGGAAGCTAAGAGATGACCAGACCCTTGACTTCTATGGCATTCAGCCTGGGTCCACAGTCCATGTGCTTCGAAAGTCTTGGCCTGAGCCCGATCAGAAACCAGGTGAGTGAGGGCTAGCTCTTCTGTAGTATCTCCAAGGGAAGGGTCTACGTGTTCTTGAGGCGCAGGCCTGGGTGGAACAAAGGGGTGCTTTACTAAGATGGTGACAAGGGATACCCTTATTGGATTAAACCACATGGATAAACAGACTCTAATTGTGATCTTCTTGAACTTCTCTATACCAGGAGATTTACTTTTTTCTTAGTTTTAGTTCATTACCACTGTTTTCTTTCTTTTGTATATGTTATATGTATACATCGCAAGGAACTGGTTTGTGCAATTGTGGGACTGGCTAGGCAAGCCCCAAATCCTTAAAGCAAGCAAGCAGTTTAGAACTCTTGGACAGAAGCTGATGCTATTTGTGAACAGAATTTCCTCTTCTTCTTCTTCTTCTTTTTTTTTGTTTCTTGTGAGACTAGGGTTTGAACTCAGGGCTTCATGTTTGCAAAGCCGGCATTTTACTACTTGAGCCATGCCTTCAGCCCATTTTCTTTTGGTTATTTGAAGATGGGGGTCTCATGAACTTTTTTCTGTTCGGGCTGGCCTTGAATCTTGTTTCTTCCAATCTCAGTTTCACAAGTACCCAGGATTACAGGCATGAGCCACTACTGTTTTCTTGTGGAATGAGAGGCATGTATCTATTTAAACGCTTTTTCTTTTTTTATAATGGTGAAAAAAAATGTGTATTTAGAATTAGCCAGCTGGATGATTCCAGTTTTGTTGGCAACATCCAAAGCATCATAATCAGGAGCCAGTCAAACATAAGCCTTCTCTTCATCAGGCCTGATGAGTGTATTGACCTTAGCCACGTCAATGTCATAAAGCTTCACAGCCTGTTTGATCTGGTGCTTGTTGGCCTTGACATCCAAATGAACGCAAGTGTGTTGTTGCCTTCTGTCTTCTCCATGGCTGACTCAGTGGTCAAGGGGAACTTGATGATGGCACAGGGGTCAAGCTTGTTTCTCCTGGGGACATTCTTCCTAGGGTATTTGGGCTGCCTCTGGAGCCACCAGTGTCTTAGGCCTCCTGAAGGTGGATGACGTGCATATCTTCTTTTTGTGGCTGTGGACACCTTTCAGTACTGCCTTCTTGGCTTTCAAAGCCTTTGCTTTGGTATCAGCTTTGGGAGGGGCAGGAGCTTCTTCACTTTTGGCGCCATCTTGGTGAAAAGCTATTTAAACTCTTTAGATTAACAGTTTATTTCTCAGTGAACTTTGTATCCTTTTTTTGTTGGTTTTGGTCAGACTTTTTTATTTTGTATTCTGTAGTTTTTAACACATACTTAAATGGTCTTACTGGGGGAGGGGAAAAAGGAGGTTCTTGTAGATTCCCAAGGAAATGTCAGAAAGGCAATATATGGCCAGCATTATCCATTTTTTGCAGGGGGTGTTTACTGGGTGAAAGAGCATTTTACTCATAGGTATCTGATATCCAGTTTTTCATACTGAGAACATTGAGATTTCAGTTAGAAGACAACTTGAAACTCCAAGAGTAGCATACCCACTTTGTATCCTTTTATTATTAGTGTTCTTATTAGAAAAAAGCCAGAAACTTTTTGCACTCCTCCAATGTTGTAGTGTTCTATTGAGAGCAAATCTCTCAAAAGAACTATGTTGGGTGGTAATTTGTTCAGTCGGTTAACTCCTCCTGCTGAACTTTCCAGAAAATGTTTCAACAATATGTTCTTACAATGTTCGTGATTACGTGACTAGTTACCAGCTTAAAATTTACCTCTTTTCAATTCTAAACATAAAGGACAAAAACATCTTTTGTACCCTGATGGGAAATGAGAAAGAGAAAGGTAGCCCCTGACATCTCAGGGTTGGTCTGGCACTCACATTCAGGACTTAGAGTTCTGTTGTGGAAAATGAAAAAATTGTACAGGTCACCAACATCAGACAAGGACATTCAGAGACCATCATGGATCAAGATGAAAACAAGGTCCCTATTGTTTCTGAACAGATATGAAAACCTGCACACTGTCCATACTATATAAGAACCATGTATCCCTTTATGCTGGCTGATAAGAGTGACTGCCGCTGCTTTACCAGCTACAGTTTTCACCTTGCTGTAGTTTCCTTCTCACTTGCTGGGCAGGCACTCTACTACTTGAGCCACCCTGCTAGCCCTCCTGCTTTCTCAGTAAGAGTTATTAAGAAGCCAAATCATAAAGTTGCCCCTACTTCTTGATAGCATCCAATCCAGACCAAAATCTTGTTTTCCCCAGAATCATCCAGCCAAAACCCACATCCTGTGTGTCCTTTCTAATGTCCCCTGATTTGGATGCCTTGCAGTTCTCTGTGGTGTGCATTCTCTGTGTACTGAACAGCAAACCCAGCTGGTTCAGATGCAGGTATGCCCCTCTGCTCTTTAGCTGGAGGGCATTGTCAGAAGGAAAGGAACATTTATGGTTTCTGTGAGCCATGTTTTTTCTCCTTTGATATTTCACTTAATCAGGACAGTGCCCCTGCAGGCTTGGTTGGAACAGCACTAGCGTCTTATAAAAGAAAAGGGTTGTTCAAGGTCACCTACTTAGAGATGAATGCAAGAGCTGGGATAGGGACCTTGGTTTTCCTGAGGCTGGCTGCCTCACTCCCAAAAGGTGAATCTAGCTCAGAGATGGTAAGAGATGCCTATTACTCTTAGCTGATTGTGGTTTAGGATATTTAGAGTCCTTTTCCTCCCAGCATCTACCTGGAGATTTCTTTCTAAAACACATGGACTTTTAGTAGGGAGGTGAAAATGAACATTTTTTTTTTTTGTTAGTTAACCTTCTAAATCTAAAAAGAAATTGTTTTGTAATAGCACTTTAGATGTTTTCTCATTTAGCACTCTTCTTCCAAAAGAAACTGATCATGATGGCACACACCTGTAAATCCTAGAACTCCAGAGGCTGAAGCAGGAGAATCTCCAAGGTCAAGGCCAGTCTGGGTTCCATAGTGAGACCATGTCTCAAAACACAACAATAAAAAAACAAATGAAAAAGGAAGCACATTTCTTGTTCTCCTACTAGATGAGAGCCTTGTAGGAGAATCTGTCTCCCCTTCCTTCTCAACTAGATTACTCTGGTTGTTCTCCATGGCAAGTTACAGATCCCTTCAGGATACTGTAACTTTGGTATCTGCGTTTCAGATACCAAAAAATGACTTGATGTTCTTTTAGAGCACCACATTCTTATTCTCCCATACACACTTTCTCACTTTGGGTTGGAAGACCTTCTTTCCCCATCAGCATCTGCTCTTAAGTTCCCTCTCAGTTGATTTTGGGAGTGAGCTTGGGTCCTTGCCCTGCCTTTAAGTGGTGGCTAGCACCCTCACTGGCATCCATATCTCTGCTAAGGTCCTCAGCATAGTGGTTTTTAAATCTTGTACTTGATCTAGTCCCATTTCTGCTGCTGTCCCAAGGTTCTTTGTTGGCAACTATTCTTACTTTTCACATTCCTGTGACTTTCTCAGAGCCAGGTGCCAGGTAAATGCTCAGTTTATAAACTCAGTTAATTGAATGAATGAGTTGACTACTTTTCAAAAGAGACAGCCTTCATGATTAGGGCTGTAGGTGAGAACATAACTGCAACACTGAATTCCAGGGGTGCAATTCACTTTACTTTGTGAGTGGTGCCCCTGAAGTCGGGTAGTGCAGCCTACACAAGCATAAGTAGCAGTCTTTTGTGAGAATAACCACACTAAAAATGTAGCCAGGGTGAGCTGCTTACCTGCACCTGTTCCTGTTATCTAAATTTCTTGCTCTGCGAAAAAGATAGGTTTCTATTTCTATATCTAGATACCTAGATTGTAAGGTAACCAAGTGAAACTGAGGCAATCACTAAACTTTCCCATATATGTAAATCACAGTGTCCAAAGATCAAAAGGGAGTTTTGGGTCCAGTAAACACTGGCTATTTGACATGTTGATATATGATGAAAGTTTACTAAGAGTCTTGGAAGTACATTGTATTTTCTTTTTTTTTTAATGGTGCTGGGATTTGAACCAGCATGTGCATGCTAGGTAAGTGCTCTACACAGCCCAATTCTTTTATATATATAGTATACATATATATATGTATACACATATATATATATGTATTTTTTTTTTTAAGAGTCAAAATAGCATTACAAAAACCTGAAAGAAAATATCAAAGAGAACACAGTTACCCCTGGACCTGTTACCTAAGCCCTGTGCTTCCTCTTGTCATTTCCAGCCTTGGACCATATGCACACTGACACATTTTATATAGCTTTGCTAGGGACTGCACATATGACTTTGTGTTCTATTTTTTTCTTAACATATTATGTCAGCATAGCACTGCACACTTGTTTTAAATCCCTGCATAAGTCTACTGAGTTGATTATACATTCCTCCTTTTCAAATGTAAGAAGTCTAGAATTCCTGCAGTGGAATGTTGATGAAAGCAGTCTCTTTCATGTGGCAAGATTCCCCTCTGCTGGAACTCGAATTTGTTTTATCTACTAAAGATACTTAAATGAGAGTGCGTTTTTACATCTGTGGCACAAATAAGCTTTTCTGAATGGTGCTCACATTCTTAGAGGGTGATAAAGGAAGGGAATGTACAGACCAGGCTGTAACTGGGCATGTGTTAGTGAGATGTTGCTGCCTTTGTGACAAGGACAGACCCTTGGGCTGTAGGGTAACTGAATGTCTTGTTCTCCAGAACCTGTGGACAAAGTGGCTGCCCTAAGAGAGTTCCGGGTGCTGCACACTGCCTTGCACAGCAGCTCCTCCTACAGGGAGGCGGTGAGTGTGAGCCAGGACTGCAGGAGAGGGTGTGAACGCTTCATGGTGTAGAGTGGGAGCTGGAAGAATTTCCATAGCAACCAAGAGTTCCTCCGGGAGTTTTTGCCATGTCTGTGGGCCTCCATAGAGCCCTGTCTTTCCCCAAAGAGTCTGTTTGAGGCAGGTGTTGGTTGTTACTTCTCTCTAATGATAATAATATAACCTCAGACTGGCTTCATGTACTGAATATGGTAGCAGCCAAGGGTCTACTTACTGTTCCTTTTTTTTTTTCTTTTTTTCTTTTTTGCAATACTGGGGCTTGAACTCAGGGTTTACTTCAGGCCACTCCACCAGCTGCGCCCCTTTTTGTGTGTGTGTGATGGGTGTTTTCAAGATAGGGTCTCACAAACTATTTGCCTGGGCTGGCTTCGAAGCATGATCCTCTTGATCTCTGCCTCCTGAGTAGCTAGGATTACAGGTATGAGCCACTGGTGCCCGCTTTCACCTACTGTTTCTGATGGGCCTCATTCTCTGACTTTGGCTATATTGTCTGTCTGCCACCCCTTAGCATGGATTTCCTCACTGGGGAAATGGGCTGATGTCTTTCTATAGGAGAGTTAACAGGCATAATTAGTACAGCTGTGAACTTCCCAACATATACGAGTATGAAATAATAATTTTATGGAGATTGAAAAGGGTTTTTGGGACTTAGAGAAACCTTTGTTATTGGGCTTCCAGTGAGAGCTTTTACTTTGTAAGTATTATGACTATGGGTGGGGAAAGAACCACAAAGATTGAAGGTTTACTGTGGTCTTGCTTTTTTAAAAAAAAAAATTCTTTGTTTCCCTTCCAGTAAGCCATGATCTCAAAGCAAAAAGAGCCTCATCTGTTTCCGGGGCCATTGTTCCATTGTGGTGCTATCTGTGCAAGCACTTAGTGGGAGGACGTTCTTTAGCAAAGTGCAGGCATTTGATGAATGGATGGAGCTCCGTGGAATGCTGAGCCCTCCCCATTTCTCCTGTAGGTCTTTAAGATGCTCAGCAATAAGGAATCTCTGGATCAGATCATTGTGGCCACCCCAGGCCTCAGCAGTGACCCCATTGCTCTAGGTAAGTACAATTAAAGAGTTGAGGACATAGGAGTTGTTGGAAAAGGAGAAACCAGGAGAAGGAAGTGACTATAAAAGACTGACCATCTTTTAAAGAATCACTGGTCTTGCAGGAAGAAGGAGAATAATCAAGATGTGTTCCACAGACTGAGGGTGTATCTCAGGTGGTAGGACACTTGCCCAGCAATCATAAAGTTCTGGGTTCAGTCCCCCATCCTGCAAGAAAACAAAAAGATGTGTTTCACATACCCAGCCCCTAAGAACTCCAGTCCTCCAGAGTGTTAATACCTAAGTAATACCATGAGTGATGGTAGGAGGATGCCAAGTGAGGGCAACAATGAACCCAAATCACTGCAATCAGGGAACACTTCCTACACACCTTGATAGGTAAGGGAAGAATCCAGAGATTTTGGGGAAAGAGACATGAAGTGTTAGTACTCAGTGTGTAACTTAAGTGCAGGGGTAGGTGGTGAGCAGGGGGACATTGCCCTGGAACAAGATGGAGAATACTTGCTCGGGCTTTGTCTCTTCATCTTCTCATGAGGGCTGGTTTAAGATCCTATCTCCCTGTTAAGCCGGTTGCTCTGAGACTAAAGTGTCTTCTCCCTCCTCGGTCTAGCCAGATTCCCACTCTGATAGGATCCTTGTTCTTTTTCAGGGGTCCTCCAGGACAAGGATCTCTTTTCTGTCTTTGCTGATCCTAACATGCTGGATACGTAAGTATAAGCATCCTATTAAAGGGCACCTTAGTTCTCATTTGGTCAAGCCTAAAACCTAATTGTCATCTTCAATTCTGTTCTGAAAGCCAGTGGTCACTTAGTTTATCACCAGGTCTATCTTCTAAATACAACAGAAGGTGAGGAAGAGCAAGGGCTGCTTGGAGAATAGCAAAGCCATGGTGAAGAGAGTCAGGATGAGCCAGCATTCTGGGGAGAGGGCTTTGTGTGCCAGGCACTGTTGAGATTACATTCAGTAGATATTAAGGAGCCTTGGAAGAATTTTAAGCTAGGGAGAAGAAAAGTAGGTATGTGGGTCTCTATAATACAGAGCTAGAAGGGACAGTAAAAGTTGTGTCCTCTGATTTTGCAAGTGAAGAAAACAGCCCTTAAAGGTGGCTCTGTTGTTCCAAGGGGTCATCTAGACTGTCGTGGACAAGGGTGCTGTTTCCTTCTTAGTCACCTTTGGGTTTCTTCTTGCCCCTGTTCTAGATTGGTGCCTGCTCACCCAGCCCTAGTCAATGCCATCATCCTGGTTCTGCACTCAGTAGCAGGCAGCACTCCGATGCCAGGAGCTGACTCCTCTTCCCGGAGCATGCCCTCCAGCTCATACCGGGATATGCCAGGTGAGGCCCAAAGAGCATAACATAGGCTCCTTGGGAGCTGGTAGTGGCCCAGGGATTTGCTTTACTCAGCAGCTATGTATAGTGTTGGCAGAGGGCGTTCCTTGGGAACTCTCAGTTTGAGTCAGGAAGTGCATCTGTCCTGTAATTTTCCAAGGGGAGAGATGAAATATGAATTTGGAGAGTATCTTGAGCTGAGATCTGGAGCTGCGCCTGTGCCTTTCTGTTCTCCTCCTGAAATCTGTTCCCTCTCCTCCAGGTGGCTTCCTGTTTGAAGGGCTTTCAGATGATGAGGACGACTTTCACCCAGTAAGTGGCCTGGCTGCTTGCCCTTTGGGGGAGATGGTGCCGGGAATGAGCCCCTCGCTGGGGCCTGGCACTCCCAAGCCAGGGAGGTAGTTATAGGCTCTTCTGGAGCTAAGACCATGTCATATTATTCCTTTCCTGTACTCCTTTAGGAATGTGGGAACTTAGGGAGTCTCCCTAGCAACTATACTGGAGTGGAATGGGGTTCTCGGGAATTTCACAGTGCCGTTTCCCTGATTTTGGGTGCCTCCCTTTTCCAGAGCACCCGATCCACGCCCTCAAGTAGCACACCCAGCTCCCGTCCGGCCTCCCTGGGGTATAGTGGAGCTGCTGGGCCCCGGCCCATCACCCAGAGTGAGCTGGCAACTGCCCTGGCCCTGGCCAGCACTCCAGAGAGCAGCTCTCACACGCCTACTCCTGGCACCCAGGTATGAAGAGAGGGCTGGGAACATCAAGACCAGACCACCAAAGGAAGAGCTCCCCTCCAGTGCCTTTGTTGATCCTGGTGTTAGATCTGATTTGAGCTAAACCCTGGAACCCTGTTGTGGAATTCTCATTGCAGCTTAGGTGACCTCCCCTTCACTTACTTACCTTTAGGGCTCAGAATTCCATGGTTTAGCACAGGCCTGCCTGATTCCTCTTTCCTTATCTCCAGTAGAGACTGGACATCACTGACTTAAGCAATTCCCGGTGATGAGTCACTCCAGGATTCTAAGACTATCTTATCTTCCCCAGTATTGGAATCCTAATTCCTAGCAATCCCATTTCTCAGAATTTGTCCTCAGAGTCCAGTTGCCTGGAGTGGTAGAGAATGGGATCTTTTCCTGCCCATATAGATAGCTTTAGTTAGGTACCTTTGTGTGGCTGTCTCAGAGCAGGCTGTCTTTGGGAGGCAGTAGTTAGGTACTCCAGGTGCACTGTGGAATGATGTGACAGCAGTGAACATCTGTTATGTTCTCAGATGGCTCTGAGGCAAGTACTGACTACTTATTTATCTCCAGGGCCATTCCTCAGGGACCTCACCAATGTCTTCTGGTGTCCAGTCAGGGACGCCCATCACCAACGATCTCTTCAGCCAAGCCCTCCAGCATGCCCTGCAAGCCTCTGGGCAGCCAGGCCTTCAGGTCAGTCTTCCTCATTTCCAGGTTTCCATGTGGCCTTTTTTTTGTTTTGGATGCTGAGCCTTTTTCTGCATTCTGGAGGTCCTTCCCATTAGGCATGCTTCACTCTGGGAACAGCAGGGAGAATAAGTGGAGTGTGACAGTTGAGCAGTACTTCCAGCCACTTCTACTCCTGTCCCCAGTGGCCATAACCTGACTCCCTTGACTTCCTGGCTTGGTGATCATGTTGGTTTTAGTCATTCAGTGAGCACTTAGTGAGCATTGCACATGTGTGCACTGGGTCTGGGTCCAGATGATGGGGCTTGAAGTGAGCCACTCCTCATCCCTGCTGGGGAGAAGCACCAGGCAGATATGGATCTGGGGAGCAAAAAGGTGAGGGCCTAAGTCAGGCAAAACTTTTCTGAGAAAGAGGTGTTTAAGCTGATTTTCTTAGAATTAGAAGTTAGGCAGGCAGGGAAGGGGTGTTTGTGGCAGGGAGGGGATAATTTCCAGGCAGAGGGAACCATGTTTTTGAGCATATACATGGAGGTATATGTAACATATTCAAAACCACAATGCAGTATGCTAGTATAGAATGTCCTGAGATGGAGCCAGAGAAAGAGAGAGCAGGAGCCCAGGTGAGAGGGGCCTTGAATGCTAACCCGAGGAGATTAAGCTCAATCTAGCAGTTACAGGGAGCCTTGGGAGGCTTGGGAGGGGAAGTCACCCTAGCAGCATTTTATTGCATGCCGTCAAGCCTGAGCTGCCTGCTTCCATTGCTCCTCACAGCAAGCCTGTGTGGGGAGCGTCATTCCTGGAACTTATCTGGGGTCTCAGAGCCACGAGATGGTGAGGACAGGGTTTAAGCCCATGTGGTTTTCACTGCCACAGGGTCATGTGGACAACTTGTCTTCTCTGTGCGTTCATCTTCCCCAGCTAGATGCCTGTTCACTTGGCTGTGCAGCTCAGAGATTTCACAGGCTCTACCTGGCTTGTGAAATGTGTCTGCATTGGTGTGGGTCTCACCCTTGCCTGTCTTTTCATTTTCATTTCTTCCCACTGCTTCTCCTTCCCAAAAGTGAACACAGTTTCCCCTAAGTTGTGCATTTACTACCTGTCATGAGATAGATAATAACGAAGCTATGAAAGTGCTAGAATAAAATGTGGATGAGTTTCTTTATATCCTTATAATAGAGAAGACCTTTCATGACTGAAACTCAGAATCTGAAGAGGCATTAAATTAAAGGTAGAAATTTTGGGTTTGTAAAAGTGAAAATTTCTGCTTGGCAAACCAAACCCAAACAACAACAATAAAACCAATTAAAAAAAACCACACAAAGTCTAATGGCCAACAGCAAAGTCTGTAACACCTGTCACACAAAGGCAAAATCTTTCTAGATGTAGAGATTTTAGAAACCTTAAGACCAATAACCCACAGAGAAATGTGCAAAGGATATGAACAGACTATTTCCTAAAAAGGAAGTACCGTGAAACCAGTGTAATTCCTAGCAATCCCATTTCTCAGAATTTGTCCTGGAGATGTATGTGCATGTGTATAAGCATATGTGCATATATAAAATGACAGTTGTATAGAGTTAATGCAGCATAGTTTATAATGGAAAAAGATTAGAAACAGCCCATTTGGCATATTTAAGAACACTTGTGTTGGAGGATTATTTGAAAGTTCTGTGTAGCTGGATGTGGTGGAGAACACCTGTGATCTGAGCACTCAGGAAGCTGAGGCAGGGGTATGGAGAGTTCAAAGCTAGCTCTTTGCATATCAGCATGGAAGCGCTCCAAGATAAATTGATTACATTAAAAAGAAAAAGAAAAAACAAAAAGAGGGGTAGAGGCAGATACAGAACAGAGATAAAGGAAGAGGTTAGATACAAGAATATATTACCTCAAAGCAAATAAAATTGATTATCTGGGGTGGAGTGGGAGTAGGTAAGAGTAAGACTTTTCACACTACCAGTCATATTAAAAAAAAAAACAAACTAGCTTTTTGTTTGTTTGTTGTTTTTGAGACAGTCTCACTATTGGCCCAGGCTGGCCTTGAACTATTGATGCCTCTGCCTCAGCCTCCAAAGCACTAGGATTACAGACGTGCAGCATCATGACTTGCTCAAAACTAGTTTTAAAATTTATCCCTATCCCATTTATTTGTATGTGTGGGTGTATATACAGATAGCAGGAGAAAAGTATTTAATACCTTGGAATTTAGACATTGAGTAATTTGTGCTTTCTCTTTTGATATTTTGTACTGTGAAACTTTGGATTTGCTCTCTTAACCCTCAAGCCTATCTTTTTGCCTTCCTGAAGCCTCCAATCCATGGGCCTTAGCATCAGCAGCTTTGCTGTGGGCCTGCCTTCTTTCTTTCTCCTGAAAACATAGACCTAAGCGAGTCTTTGTTAGGAGCTCAACTAACAGCTTCTGCTTGCTTTGTTTTTCCACAGAGCCAGTGGCAGCCCCAGCTGCAGCAACTGCGTGACATGGGCATCCAGGATGATGAGCTGAGCCTGCGGGCCCTGCAAGCTACTGGAGGGGACATCCAAGCGGCCCTGGAGCTCATCTTTGCTGGAGGAGCCCCATGAACTCCCTGCTCCTTCTGAGCAACCACCAAGTTGCAAAGGCTGCTGCTGATGGGAGGCACTTGTGAAGGTGCCTCCAGCTCTCCCTTCCCCAATACACCTGATAGTCAACTCTCCTGTTTTGTCCAATGCTTGGCCTTTCTGGCTGGTCTTGATGCTGCGGCATCAGGGAGCATGGTTGGCATGCGGCATCAGGGAGCATGGTTCTGTGTCTAGGCCCTGGGTGAATGTTAGACCCATGGGATGCTATGTGATACTCATGTTCACCTTTGGGACAAGTTTCCAGCAGTAGCCCCCAGACTCTTTGGTGCTTTGCAGTATGGCAGCCTCAGGGTGTGTCCAGAGCTGGAATAGACCTGCTGCCCTTTCTTCAGGGTGGCTGCTATGTTACAGGTATGGCCAAAAGAGGCTTGTGCTTCTGAGATGTCCACAGTCTAGGGAGTGACCAGGTGGACTTTCAGGGGAAGAGGGTAGAGGGACCTTACCCTCTACATTAGCCCTCTTCCAAAGCCTGAAAGAGTCCTTGTTCCTACCCTAGCCTTCTCTTACCAAACATCCTTTGACACTTACTCTGTAACGATGCCAGAATGCAGGCCGCAGAGCTGCACCAGGAGGCAAACCCTTCTCCTCTGTCCTGAAGGTGTAAATACAAGAGCAGTTAAATAACAGTACTAAACAACAACACAAACATGAACAAGGCTGCGCTTTAATATTGAAGAGAGGGCACCACCTCCCCAGCTGTTGTTCCATCTGCCTGTGCTCTCATTCCCCTTGGCACAGTGTTCCCTGTGGTGTCACAGACATGCCCAAGTTGACGAAGTAGGTTTCATGTGCTTTGAGTACTTTGTTAGAAAAAAAAAAAATGCATTCGCATCCAGTGATGTTTGGGTTCTTTTGGGAACTGACCTGGGTGGAAAGGAGCTCAGAGGTCTGTTACTGCCCTGGCCTTGGCAGACATTCCATCCATACCATCTCCAGTCATGGTTGATCGGCTTTTGCTCATCTCCTGGGACAAAAACTCACCAGGAATATACCTCTTAATTATCTTTCTGCCCTGAAGAGCCACACAGAACAAGCCTGCTCCCTGTTTTGTATGGGCAGAGTTCAGTTACCTACAAAGAGTGACAGTTTTTCACATGTACCTTTAACTTGCCCTCCTGGTTTTGGTCCCCAGCACATCCTGTTCTTGTTTTCTAGATGACCTCCAGTTTATCAGTAATGTTCTTTTAAAAAGAGCCCACTATGCCAGATTTGTCCTGAGCAGCTCATTGTTCTTTACCTCTTCCACAAAATTTGCAAAGCCTCTACATTTCCATCATAATCCTAGGATTGGTGGAAAGGTGTTTGCATTGGCAGAAAAGAATCTCCAGGCCCCTCGGTGCCTCAGTGGTGTGTCCGACTGGAGCCCTGCCTTGTGGTTGGGAGCAAAGACCAGGACACTCTGTGTTTGAACCCAGTGTCTCCTTCTTACTGTGGTGGAAACAAAGGCCAGTGCTGTCCTCATGAGCCTATGGTGGTCAGATTGGGCTGACACAGCCCTTTCTATCCCTATGGTACAGCTTGCATACAGCTGGTCTCTGTTCTACAGCAACTTACCCTGCCCCTAAGGCCCTTTAAAGTTGCTGGGGCTCTTTAATTCCCCTACCCCATTACACTGTGGAATTTGGATTACCCTGCTCTGTCACTGGAACCAACTCCCGATACCAGTTACGTTGCTTCCCAGAATTGAACCGAACCCATGGTTTCCCTTTCCCTTGTTTGTCAGCTCTTTCCTTTCGGGGCTTGGCACGTTGGTTTTGTTTCCTGTGGCCATGTTTTAAATAGTATGTGTTGGGTCTGATAAGTACCCCCAGTGAGCCTGGGGCTTTCCAATGGCCCTTTCACCTTTCAACAAGTGTGATTGAGCCTCTACACCAGGTAAACATGGCAGCATCCTTGCTCTGGGAACTGTCGTTGGTAAGAAACAAACATTGATATTAAAGCCTGATTAGAACTGGGCCAGGCAAGACCAGGGGCTGGGTAAGGAGCTCACTTAGGTTTTGTGTGTGTGTGTGTGTGTGTGTGTGTGTGGCCACTGCTTGAAGAAAGCTGAGATCTGAAGGGTAAGGAAGAATGGGACAGGGAGGTGTTTGTTGCTGAGTGGTCTGGGAGTGGAGAGGGAATATGATTTTTGTAGGGTGGATAGCAATGCAGGAACCATATAAGGTGTTGGGGTTTCCCCTGAGGACAATGGGGAGTCAGAATTTTAATCAGGGGAGAGAGTCAGATTTATGTTTTAGAAAGGTCATTCTGGCTGTTTGGTGGTGAGCAGAACGGGAGTGGGGGACAGGCTTGAAGGAGGGAGACCAGCGTGGAAGTTGAGACAGTGATCCACTTAAAACTGACAGGGCTGCCTTGGCAGTGGAAAACAGAAGAGTGGGGAGGGAAACTTTAGGTTGTAGAATTGATACTGGTCTTTGGAGAAGAATGTACTGTTATCTCCATTGGAGAGATGGGCATACCAAGGTTGAGAGGGTGGTCTCATGGTTAGGAAGTGGACAACTGGAAACTTGGATCTGTCTAACTCCAAAGTTTGTGCTCTTCCTGCAGCTGCTCATGGCCTGTGAAGTAGAGAAGGATAGTGAGTGCTCAGACCAGGCTATGGATCTCAGGCTTTATGCAGAGGGCAGAGCACCCCTGGAATGGCTATTTAGGCAGGGCAGTAGGGACCAGATTTGTGTGGGAGATAATCTGACAGCTGTGTGGAGGCTGGATTTGTGGGAAGTGAGATTGGGGGTGGGTGACCAGCTAGGTTTGCTATCTCCATATGGGACATGGTGGGGGCCTCAACCAGAACTGTAGTAGGGGATCTGCAGGGAGGGAAGGAGGGTGTGAAGTGTGAAGGACAGATCTGGGGGGCAAAGAGGGAGGAGGCAGGAGATGAGTGGGTAGATGGTGGTGTTGCAAGAATAAGGAACTGGTGTTAGGATTTGGAATGGACATGTTTTGGATGTGTTGAGTTGAGATGTCATGAGACACCCAGGCGGAATGTCCTATAATCAGGTGGATATCCTTGGGCCGAGATAGTGACCAGGAAGTTTTAAGTTTATGACTGGGTCAGTTTCATGTAGAAAGGTAATTCAACTTTTCAGGGAAACAAGGAAAAAGAATACCCACTAAGGAGATAGGCTTTATAGGAAATGGTGATTGGTAGATAGGAGATACGGAAGGGGGTGGGGTCTGCTGCTTCTGGGAAAGCGGGAACTGGAGTCACCAAAGCAAAAGGAGGGATGGAACTAGACAGTAAGGGCGCAGTCAATGGTGTCAGATGCCACAGACAAGCCTGGTAAGGCAAGGACTGACCTTGGGCTTAGTGATTTTTGTGTAGTGACCTTGGGGAGGTGTTAACAGTAGAGCTAGAGCCAGATTGCAGGTATTGAGGCCTCAATACATTGCCTGGGGGCGTGGAGGGTGAGGGGGCTACGAGGCGCCAGAGGCAGAGAGGACAGAGGATGCTGTAGAATTTGCTGGCAAGGGAGAGGGCAGTTGTTGCAGGGGAGATGGGATTGAGAGCATTTGCAGTTCAGCAGAGGTGAAGTTGGAATTGATCACGAGAACTTTTCTAGGAAGCTAAGGGGGAAAAAAAAGGAAGAGAAACCTCAAAATAGAATATGCAAATATGCAGAGATGGGTGAGTTCTCTGAACAGATCCCTTCTCCTGATATAACTCAAATTTGGCTGGGCTGACATGGGCTGGGCTGGCACAGCTTGCTGGGCACATGGGCCCCGGTTCTGCTCCTTGCCTCAGCCCCATCTGGCCTGGGCCCCAGACCAAGCTCTCAGATCTGTACCCTGAGGGTGGCTTCTTGCTTCCTCTGCCATAGGCCTTGGCAGTGAATGTTTGGTGGGATGTTGGAGGCTCTATTCAGGCCCCTCTCTCCTTGCTTCCCCAGACCCTGCAACAGTTTGGATCCCCTGCAGCCATGGACTGAGTTTAGGTCAGCTCAGCTGTGTTCCTGGTTTCCCTGGGCCCAGGCTTATCTTTCTCCCATAACCTCTGTGATTGCTAGTGACAGAAGTCAGTTCCTCCAGGCTTGAAATGCTTTTCACAGCAGCCTAGATACTGGTCCCCTTACCTTGGCAAAACTAGATTGCTAACAACAATCTAGTACAATGGTGCTCATTTATCAGGCACCTCTGTGCTAGGCATTGAGCTTGGCACTAACACACACCATCTCTGTGGATACTTATGACAACCTTGAAAAGGACAGGTTATTATCCCTGTGTAGGTGAGCATTTCCTGTTAGGACACGGGACTGTGTGCTGGGAAACCTGCCTTTCCAGGGCTTAGGTGATAGTGTATTAACCATGAGTCCATCGGTGCACACACCTGGGGCCTTTCTCCTGCCTGGAAGCCACTACAGACTGAAGAGTTTGATAATCACTCATCTTGAAAGCGGCAACTCAGGTCTGGCAGGAGGATTAGGCTTCTAAATAAGACCAAGGTTTAGATTACTTTCCACAGATGACCTAATTTCTGGAAGCCTTAGTTGTGTCCTGTATGACACTTTCCCTCAATTTATATGAGTGGATACTGACAATGTGTACATCAGATTCTGGGCACCCAAAGCTGGGCTGGCTAATATTCTAAATGGAGCCAAGTCCTATCAAGAAAGACAGGAGCAGAAAAAGTCTAAGGTGGGATGCAGGATGGGTCTCATCTCTTCTCTTGGACTCATTCAAACTCAGAATCCTCAACACAGCATCCTAGAGAACAGCTACTGATGGTTAGGAAATAGTCTAAGGGTGACCCTGGGCTAAAAGCAGCAGGAGTTAACAGCCTGGGATCACAATCCAGTAAGGCAGAACCTTGGGAGTAGCTGGAATCAGGAGCAAGGAAGCTGGTCTTTTAGGTCCTTTACTGTTCAGCCTCTACTCTAGGTGTTGTGTTGTGATCTGAGGCCTGATCACTTCTGAAAGGATGAACACAAACTAGACTGCTTAGCACTTGGGAGGGACTTAGTAGATGACTGGCTGATCATGTCCTAGGTATCAACCAGGATTAGAGAGACTTCTAAGGAAAGCCCCACAAGAGACCTGTTTGGAACTGGTGTTATTTACCCTGAAAAAAGAACAG